TAGGCACAAAGCCAAAATTCTTCCGAATGCCAAATATTCGAATCGGGTGCTTAATGAGATTATGTATAAAGCACTTTTAATCTGCTTAATCTCTAAGTCCAGGATTTGCTAACAAACATTTCAGAATGCAAAGATATTAAGCTTCCTCATTCTCTATTTAACATTAGCATTGATGCATGCGAAACGGCGGGCGAGAATAGACTATATGTTTAAGGCAAGGAGCAAGGAAACAATGGACCTGAGCTGCTTTTACATCAGATTTCTGAATTTTATTATGACAACGCCAATTTATGGAAAATGTTTTTTTGCCCACAATGACAGGTCAGGCCGTCCTTAATATTGACATCCGCGCTGTGACTCAATGGCACTCATGGTAGTGTGGAGTAATGGTTAATATATCGATACAATACACTGCGCTACCCGGGTTTGAGTCCCACCGGGGGTGCTGATGAAACCTAAGCGAGGTAAAAACTGAAGTGCATCCTGGACGACAAAGTCAATGGAAAGGTAAGGCCTACTCATATTATTGTAGGAGAAATTAACTACCAGTACTTCATCACCTTAAGCGAAATAGAATGAATACAGCTCTTATATATGAACTACTGGCAGTATCAAAAACATACATGCAAAGCGAAAAAATTAAATGGAATTACCTAGTGCCCCAGCGTCAAGTGGACAAGAGGAATCAGCATTTGTGATCTATTCTCGGATCTCTTCTCTACACATTTTATTCGAAATGAAAGTGAGTTAAATACATAGCATTCTTACTTAGCAAAATGAAGCCTTTTGGGCCTATGGCTATATCTAATCCCTACTGTATGACAAAATCACACTAGATTCGTTTCCTCTACTTTTTTGAACTCACGTGGTGACTAATAAATGAGTTATGCATACGTTATTTGGAGGATTACTTTAAATTCATGTGTAGGCCAATTTCACCCTAAAGCGAGGGTCAATTGTCCTTGGCCTGCTGTAGCCTGACATAGTGGAAGATTTATGTTGAAATAGTCCAAAAGCACAATCTTAATGTTTCTGTAAAAACATGATAAATTTTCACGTCATATTAAAAGGCATAGTCAGAGCTGGATATCAACTTCATCTAGACTTCAAGCTAGCATTGTCAAAAAGCTTAATAAGGTAATCTCTCATTTATCGCTATATAAACATAACCCTAAATCTGGAGTATAAAATGGTTTAGTTAATGTGTGGACATAATTTTATGGAACTTGATTTCAATAAGTGTCATGAGTAGAAATCTAAAATGTATGATTTAAAGTACGCCCTAGTTTAACAAAAATGTTCATGACATTTTAGCGAAACGCGTCAGATCGATTGTGTACTAAGGGAAGTCCGCCTTGATGAGTTGATGAGATAGACTTCTCAGTTACGTGTATATATATATATATGTATATATATTGTATGCATGAAACAGACGAAGCCAAACATGAGCCTAGACTGATTGAGACGCCCCTTATAATGTAAAACAAATTGTTTAAACAATGTATGAAATGAAATACTTGCCTTGACTAGAATGCAATGCTCGATTTGTGACTTAGCAGAGCTAGAGGCGTGTGGTCCTGCCCCTCAACTTAAACTGTGTTCTATTACCATCAAGCGTGATGATTGTGTATAGAATAGTCGAAATACTACTATATATAAGCTCACTCCTGAGATGCAATGCAAAAAAATTTTCTTTTAAAGTCAACAAGAACATACAAAATATAATACGCCTAATCAAATTATACGACCCCTAATTGAGGGCCGGTCTGAGCTTGTTTTAACCGAATGTTTCACTTTTGTATGTATTTGCCCATCTCGTCAAGCTTCTATTCTGTATACATAACGTGGATCTTGTCTGAATATGAAGTTAAGAACTTTGGCCTCGTCTGGGCCTAATCACTACCATCGAAATGAGTAGAATCCAGGACGCACAACTTTATAGACAGGCATGTAGCCCTCCCTTGTCAAATCAGAACACTGTGGTATTCAAGCCTAGAACAACGCATAGTGGGCAGATAAGCCAAATGGGACTTCCTTCTAATTTCGAGATGGTTACCACAACCTCAAAATACGTTATTTAAATAATATACAGGGTTGCCAAACTATATGTAAAAACTAACCATGAATACCAAGTTAAGGTAAAGTATTGTTAATGAGTTTCTAGAAAATGAGCAGCTATTCATACCACATATGCCTATAATATCAATGAAGGGAATTAGGAGCAAAAACCGTGTGTATACAGGCAAGGATAAATAAAAACAAAGTGCGAATATTCAACGTAAACAAATTATGGCTGGTCCTCAATAAAAAGGAAGAAAAAACATCAGTAGACGAGATAATTCATGTTGAGACACAACATTAAAAGACCTATGTGAACATCTGGTGAGTAAAATAATCATTAAATTTATAGAATAAAAATAAACGTTAACGACTACCTAATCTCCTTATACTCTAAATGGGCGATAAAATAACATATTTAATTAAAAAACATACAGGTTCGGCAGTTAAGACGAGAAAATTGATATGATCTGGAGGCTAATATGTAGTGAAATGAGTGCAAGCTCTTCAGCAAATCAAAATAACGTTGACCATAAGCTAAATAGGCCATTAAGGAAGATATGAAAAATAATAACGGAATATAGTAATAGAAATGTTAATAAAAAAGATATTAATATTTGTTTAGATGAGCGCTTACCTGAGAAGTAAGATTGCCATTTGTGGAGTTTGAAAGGATGTCAGAGTCCCCGATTCTATTGGCTTCTAAGGTTAACTTGGATGATAAGGAAGGCAACTCCGTCACTGCTGTCACAAAGGAGCCATTGCAAAGCTGATCTGATCTAAATGGGACCGCATCAGCGAAAGACTTTACCATCCATTCAGAATTCTGCTCTTGACTACTTGGTATAGAAGAAGTTTCCGTCAGCTCAGTGATTTGCTGACCAGCATAGTCAAGATATTCATGGTGGTCAGATAAAGAAGCATCAATAGGCATTGAGCTTGACTGAGCCAAATCAAGTAGGATCTGCCCAGATGTAAATGGAGTGAGGGAAGTTGAGGGAGAAATCCGATGGTCTGATCTGCAGGAACCCTGCCAGGCAGAGACATGAGGGATCGAAAAGGCATGACTAACACTGCTTGGCGAACCTAACAATCTACGTCGACAAGCGTCAGAGGTGGCCTGATAAGAAGCATCACCAACCACGTCTGATGTATGTATATTAGAGACAAGCTCTCTTTCAATCCCATCATCCTCTTGGCCGGTAAGCACCCCTTCGAGTGCCAGTCTTTGGCCTACTAAGTCACCTTCACCAGTCGAGAAAAGCTCGTCTTCATCGTCTTTTGCCAAAAGAGTCTTCACGGAGGTCTCCAATGGTAAAGCTGTTTGTCTTGATAGGGTTGAATAAACGAACTGTCCATTCTCATGTCCTGGTATTGCGGTGCAGGGCTCTTCTTGGCCAACTGTCAAATGCAGCGTAGGAACATAAAGCTTTGGTGCATAGGCGTTACAATTTGCCTGGCCCGAATCTAGGTCGCTAGTTGATAAAGACCGATGGCGTTCGCGCATTCGGCCCAACTCGTTAGGATCCCCAGATCCATTTGTCGGTGCCCTTAAAGAAACAGTATTATTGACACCTCCACCATTCACGAAGCAGCCAACATTGCAAACTTCGCAATCAGGACGGTTGATCCCTTCCTGTGCATCCTTAGTGCATAGATTGGTGGCCGGGCCACTTTGGCTGCCCACATTAGCTACATAACGGTGTGCCAGCTCAATATCCGCAGTCAGTGGTCCCAGACTATTGTCGGGATTAAAGGCGGTATGCAGGCCTGTGGATGGCTGCAAATCAGCTGGTGAATCGATAAGTCGCCCTGCAGTTTGGCTGTTAACGGGCTTAAACGAGGGTCTCTCTTCACTGCAGGGGAGCGATATTGCGGTGGTTCGATTGCTGACAGCTGAAAGTGAGCATGGAGGAGGACTGTTTGTGTGCCTCGACGAGTTTTCGATGGCATTAAGGGCCTCAGACGGAGAGGAAAGTTGCATAAGTGGAAAAAGCGCATTTTGATATAGAGAATGCCAAAGATAGAGACTTCGTTGCTGCCACTCTGGCTGTAAAACCTGAAATAAGAAAAGAAGCAAAGCCCTGAATGGAACAAATACTTAAGGTAATTCTTAAGATCAATATAAGAGTAATCAAAAGAAAGACACCTTTGCGAAAAGCAAAGGCATAATTAGCTGATCCCCATTGTAATTCAATTGGCAAAGTATACCAAAATAAAGAAGTAGAGCAAGTCTGTGTATTTAGGCTAATATATGTGACCAAATGCCTTTCATAAGGTAAAGACCCGATTGAAAAGTGAAGTAAATTTATCTGGTAAATTCCCAGAGGAAAAAGGGGATTTCGAAAAATGATAAAAACTATAAAAAATGTTGATGTTACCTCATCGCTTGGTTCATAGAGAAAATTTCTAACTTTCCAATTGAGTTTAGATGAAAGCAAAGCCCAGAGTGAAACTGTGCGTTCAGTCAAAGAAATCTGTTGACGCTCACGCTCTGAATTGCAAAGAAAAGTTCCAAATAGGGTTGAATAAGCATGAAGGCCAAGTTTGATCTGTAGAAAAAGATAAGGATTGCTTGATGAAATCAATAAAGTTAGACAAATAAACGCTAAATTCTAGGTTTAGCGTTTTCGATTAGTCTAAGTACAACGAATAAAAACGGATTCGAAGATATGGAGAAAAACTGGATTTCGAGAAGTTTCTTGATGATATATTGTGACATTCATTTCCATTTCAAAGGAAAAGTTGGTTGGAAGGAATTCGTGATGTGGCCTTACTGGAAACGGAAAGAGGATTACCGCATATGGAAGACTGTTGTAATGTGCGAAGAGGTCCTGACTCATCGCCTAGCAACCCCACTGAATCTGTGATAAGCTTACGTCTGTACTGTGGAGACATCATAAGGGCAAGAATCCATGCGCTAGGAAATAGAGAAAAACATACTACACCATGAAATAAGGGAGCCGGCTACAACCAGTCGCTTCTTCTACACATCTAACCTTGGGATCTTAATGAGGCATTTCATGATTTGGTTGGCTACCTCAAACTGAGTCAACATTAGATGATCGTACGTTAGTTTATTTGTGTAAGGAAACAGCTGCTACCAAACGCACTTCCGGCTCGTGAAAAAATGTCATTCATCTGCAAGCATGTAGAATAAGTTTGATGTGGCCAATCACATCATGAGATACCTGATTAAGATCGTAGGGTTAGATCTATACAAGAAGCGACTAGAGTTGCAGCCGTCCAATCACTAATGATGTAGTATAGTTTTGGTCTATTTTTTGAGGAATGGATTCTTGCCCTGATTATGTCTGTCACAGTACAAACGAAAGATTAGCACAGGTTCAGTATAGCTGCTAGGCGGTGGGCCGAGGACATCTTAGCAAAATAAAACAGTCTTCCGGTCGGTTTCACAAATTCGCTTCAACCAACTTTTCCTTCAAAATGGCAAGTTATTTCACACA